TACCTTTTTAAAAACAAAAACATTTTATTGGGGGCTCGTACAACTCTTACCACAATCCATACATACAGATCCATTGTGTCAAGTACATTTGTACATTTGAAGGGAGACATCGGACAATGTAAGACATGAAAAAATAATAATTTGTAAATTATCAAGGGTTCGTGAGGGAGGGGAAAAAATGAGGAGCTGATACGAAGGGCTCAAATAGAAAATGTTTTGAGAGTGATGATAGCAGCAAATGTACAAATACTTTTTTTTTAAGATGGAAAAAATCATTGCAATTTCTTATGTTGGTGGGATTGGTAAAGGAGGAACAAGAATAATGGTCAGAAATAAAACAAGAGGAAATGCAGTTTAGACCTTGGGAGGATGGTCATCACTCTTGGTTCTGGGAGATGTGGGCACCAGTGCAGACAGGCTGCTAGATGTGCTCATGAGACTGGTGGAAGTCCTCTTGTTTGCTTCTGTTTTCTCAGTGAAATAGGAGGTTCATGAGTGAAAAGTTAAGAATGGGGAGAAAAGTTAGAACCTTAAAAGAAGAAAAAATCATATGACGTTAAAAGGAGTTACCAGTAAGTGACTATAATACGGAGGTTTATGGAGGTAATTCACTATAATTAATGAACCTTGAATCTATACTGGTTAAGGAGGACATGAGACAAGTGAAGAACAATAAAAACGTGGTAGCATAGTGGATAATAGCCTTATGAACTGGGTTTCCTTATTGACATTTGGATATCTGTCTAACAGTGCTATACTTTAGGATATTTTCCCCCCTTGAGATTGTATTTATTATGTTGTGTTGGAAATACAAAGCAAAGCATATACCAACTTTGCAGTGTCTGCATGTACGTTATGACACATTACATTTTTCATGTTGTGTCATTCTCTTCTTCATTGTTGTTCCCTCATGAAGATAGGTTCATTGCCCCGTAAGGTTCCTATCTCTAATCTTTTACGTTACTGTTATCAATTCAGTCCTATATACGTAGCTACTAGAGTTGAATGGACTATAAAGTTTAAGGCAGATTTTTTATTAGTTATGCAAGCTAAACTATTGTTTGGTTTTAAGAAGACTACAAGAGTCAGTTTGGGTTCAATATTTAAGGTTTAAAGATGATCATAGGGCAGTAATTTCAGGGGTTTATCCACCTTTCATGGAACCAGAATATCTAGAATCCATGGGAATTTGAAATTCTGTTCTGCGTTCCCCATATTTGTATCGTTCCAATTTTCGTATATGTACTGCATTCCGTATATGTACTGCAAGCACTGCGTTCCCCATATTTGATCAGGGTTCTTCTGCGCATTTTTTATCACAATGTTCTCTCATTATAGCCAGACACCATCCAGTTCTTCTGGTCTCCTAGCAAACAAACCCATTGTTCATGGAGACAATGAGCTTCATATCCCATCTCCTCCTTCTATCCCTGACTTGCCTTTCTTCATTGTTCTGGAGAACAGAGGGTACTTGTTGTGCCTTGGATGGCTGCTAGCACGCTTTTAAGATCTTAGGCATTGTGCACTGAAAGCAGGACATGGGACTGAAGCATCAGACACATTATTAGTCCAAGGAAACATGACCCTAAACCTCCAAACCAGGGACTCAATCTCAGTAGCTTCGGAAGCTACTGTTTGTGGTTGTTTTATTGAAAATCATCTATTATACAACTTTGATCGATTAAATTGATCACAGGCATACAACTTACCGGTAGCAATTACACAGTTGCAATAAAGACTGTGCAACTACACCCTTAACCAGGGTACTTTTCCTATCACAATTACCTTCCCCTTTCTTCCTTGCTTTCACTTGTGGAAACCACTGATAATCTTTATACTCTACTTGCCTCTTCTTGATGTTTTATATAAGTGAGCTCACATACTGTTTGTCCTTTTTGTGATTAGCCTATTTCACTCTGCATAATATCTTCACGCTCCATCCATACTGTAATATGTAGAAACAGATCTTGAAATGTTCTTTTCAGCAATGGCCAAAACGCTGAACAATGAGGAAGCATTAAGAGAAGGTGAAAGGAATATACATAATCTCCCTACTAAAAAAAGTTGGTCGATGTTCAACCATTTGAGGAGGTAGCTTGTGATCAAGAACTCGTAATGTTGAAGGAAGATGCCTCAACTGTACTGAAGCCATTGGAAAATAACAAGGCTTCAGGAATGCCCCAGGACTGGCATTTGTTTGTTTGTTTGTTTGTTTCTGAATCCCTGTTTGGGGCCAAAGTGGCCCTGGCCACAGCGAGGAGGGAGGCCCTCAGCAGGGCACGCAGCACCGCTGGGCCCCAGGGGGACGGGGAAGGAGGGCTGTTGGCTCCCTGGGAGAGGGGCAGGGGCTGCAGCCGGTCCCCCCCCACCCCAAGTCACCCCCCTCGAGTTAAAAAGCAGGGTCTGGGACTGGGGCTGCCCGGCTGGCCGGGAGCAGAGCCCAGGGGGCGTCCAGCTCCTGGGCTGGTCAGGACAGAGGGCCAGCGTGGGGTGGAGGTGGGGGTGGGTGTCTGCGACTCCACGTGACACGCTGACTGCAAAGCCGGCCCGGCGGGCGGCCTCCTTTTGGCATCTGTGCAGCAGCATCGCGGGCGGGCGGGCGGGCGGGCGAGGGCCAGGTCGGGGCTCAGGTCGGGCAGCGGGCGGCTGAGTTGGAGCTCCCGGGCGGAGGGATGTCGGCATGGAGTCAACTCTCCTCTTGCCAATGACAAATCGGGGGTTTTAAAATTCATTTTGGTGACAAAAACTCCTTAGCGCGGGAGCAGAGAAATCACATTCCCGAGCATGTGTCACGCCGTTACATTCTGAGGATGACGCCGAGCCCCTCCGGGGGCTTCTGTGGGAGACAACAGTTTGGCAAGGTCTGCGGTAAAGGTGTTCTTCATTCATCCTTCAAGATCCACAGCGACACCCACCGGGAAGGAAGGGCACCCTGGGAAGGCCACGGACGGCCCCTTGAGGGGCAAGGCCATCCTACTGGGGTCACATCAAGGGGGTCACTGCAGAGTCCACACAGAACGACTGCCAACTCTGCAAAAGACACGTGAAAAATAGCTTGGAATTCATGTTTAGCATCCTCTGGCTACACTAAAGAAAACCATACTCACTGCCAGCAAGCCAGTGTCGACTCACAGAAACCCTATAGGACAGGGTAGAATTGCTCCTGTGAGTTTCTGAGAATGTAACTATTTGCAGGAGTAGAGAGCTGTGTCTTTCTCCTGAGGAGCAGCTACTTGGGTTAGAACTGCCCACCTTGTGGATAGCATCCAAACATTTAACCAACCCCTACTCCACCAGGGCTCCTCCCTGGCTACACTAAGGAAAGATAACGCAACTCCATACCAGTCCCAGAGTGCCTCCACCCTCTGATACCAGTTGTCCCAGCTACACACTGTCGTTCATTGCTGGGTTGGTAATCCATTGCAACAGTCACTAGAACTCACAGACAATACTCATAATTTAGGGTTTATCTGGGAAGCTAACAGGTTATAGGATCAGTAATGTTTAGGTTACGGTTCTTTTGCACACAATGCCATTTCTCAGTCATTCTCACAGGTATGTCTCCCTCTGGTACTTGGCCTCTCAGTCCTACAATCCTTTAACCTCTGGCCCGCTTTGACAAGTGTTACCAAGCTCTTTTAATGCTGATAAATGTCAAAAGGGCACCCCAATATACAACCCAGCTTCCTGCCTGAAGGCACTCAGTTTTCCTTGTTTGATGGGTCAGGAGCCATGTGCCATTTCAGGTGTCACTCCAGGTGCTGCCACTGCTCCTCTGCTCAGGGATTTGAGGCACCCTGTGCTCTCAGTTCTTTCTTCGTGGCCATGCTTTGGGGATGACTCACTTTATATTCAGTGGAATGGCAAAAGTGATTTTTTAAATCCCCAGTTCGAGGATTCTAAGCCTTATTACATGCTCCCATTACAGCATGAAAGTCACAGAGACTACGGGTAGGAGAGTCATCCCAAGTAATTCCACTTCACCACAGACACCAATTGTGATGTTCAATAAGCAGATGCAGTGCTGGAAGCACTCAATCATGCCAAGAAGTTTGGAAGGCAGCTATCTCGCCAATTGACCAAACGGGATATATGTTCATGCCCATTTCAAAGAAATGTGATCCACTAGAATGCAGAAAATATATACAACAATAGCATTAATATCACATGCAGATAAAATTTTACAGGTGATCATTAAGAAACAGTTATAATAGTATATCTACAGGGAACTGCTCAAAAGTCAAGCCAAATTCAGAGGAGGATTTAGAATTAGGGATAGCATTGCTGATGTCAAATGGATCTTACCTGAAAGCAGAGAATACTGGAAAGATGCTTATGTGAGATTTATTGTCTATGCAAAGGTATTTGACTATGTGGATCATAGCAAACTATGGATACAGTTGAGAAGATTTGAGAATTCCAGAACGCTTAATTGTAGTCATGCAGAATCTGTACATAGACTAAGAAGCAGTTGTTCAAACAGCACAAGGGGATACTGCATGGTTTAAAAGTAGGGAAGATGTATGGCAGGGTTGTCTCATTCCACCACATTTGTTCAAGCTGTGTGTGGAGCAAACAATCCAAGACGCTAGACTACATGGAGAAGAACCCAGCATCAGGATCCGAGGAACCTGCAAAGTGCAGATGACATAACCTTGCTTGCTGAAAGAGAAAGGACTTGAAATGTTTATTGACAAATATCAAAGACTGCCATCTTCAGTGTGGATTATGATTCGACGTAAAGAAAACTACGTGGAGGATGGAGGAGGGAAGGGAGGAGCTGATACCAAGGGCTCAAGTAGAAAGAAAATGTTTTGGAAATGTTGATGGCAGCATATGTACAAGTGTGCTTAATACAACTGAATGATGGGTTGTCATAAGATTTGTAAGAGCCCGCCAATAAAATGATTAACCAAAATAAATAAATAAAGCAGAAAAAGCAAAGAAAAGTAAGAACACCACAACTGGACCAGCAAACATCATGCTCAGCAGGAAAAAGGTTGAAGTTGCAAAGAATTTCATTTTATTAGTATCCACAACCAATATCCAGGGAATGCACAGTCAGGAGATCAAATAAAGTCCTGCACTGGGCAGATCCACTACAAATGGTCTCTTGAGAGGACTGCAAAGCAAAGGCATCTCTGTGCATCTGACCCAAGCCATGTCTTTTCAGTCACCGCATCTGCATGTGAAAGGTGAACAATGAAGAACTGAGGTGCTGGATTATGGTATAGGTGAACAATCTTGAATACACTATGTTGCAAGAAGTACAACAGGTATGCTCTTAGAAGTGAGGGTGGTGAGACTTCATCTCATGGGTTTGGACATCTTCTTAGGAGGGACCAGTCCTTGAATAAGAATACCGTGTTTGTTAAAGTAAAGGAGCATCAAGAAATAGGAAGACATCAACGAGGTGGATTGCCGCCGTGACTGCAACAAAGGACTCAAATACAGCAATGGTTGTGAAGGTGGCACAGGACCCGGCAGTGTTTCACTCTGTTGTCCACAGGGTTGTCATGAGTTAACATCAGCCGTTGTTATGTTAGCAGCATGACGTAACTTGTCATGACAGCAAAGGCTGTGACATTAAATTTCCTTTCCTGGAGGAGCAACTGGCTTCGAAGGTTAAACGATGCAAACCTGAAGCAAAGACTTGTGAGCCACCTGTCTCTGTGCTACACTTCTAGAGTTTCATTAGCCATGGCTTGGAGCTGCTGCGCCTCCTCGGTGTTATTTTCCGTTTGCTATTTGATTTGGATCCATCTCAGGCTAGCTTTAACATTGTAGATTTTTCCATGTGCTTCTTCCTTCAAACTAGGTTATAGAAACAAGAACCTAGAGTCATAATGCAGAAGCATATGAGGGGATACCTTCTCCCAATGGAATTTATTTTCAAAGCTTCGTACTTAAACTTTTTTTTTTAACAAAATAACCTTATCACCTTCAAAGTACTCTCCATTACACTTAATACATCTATCAAATCTGCGATTCCATTCTTGAAAACATTTTTCAAACTCATCTGTTTAGATGGCTAACAGCACCTCCTTCATTTTTTCCCCTTAAGTCATCAAATCACTGTCCTTTCACATCCCTCTTAATTCACAGAAACAAAAAGAAGTCACACAGAGCATGGTCAGATGAGTCAGGTGTACAGAGCAAGAGAGGCATGCTGCTTTTTTGCCAAAAACTGGCACACTGAGATGGCTGGGTGAGCAGGTGCATTTCATGGTGGCAAAACCAGTCCCCAGTCTGACACAAATCAGGACTTTTTTGTGTGGCACACTTGTGTTAGTCTGGGTACTTTAGAGAATCAAATCCACAGAAACTCATGTATAAGAGAGAGCTTTATATAAAGGCTAAGTGCACATCAAGAAAACATCCCAACCCAGTGCTGCCCAAGCCCCCATGTCCAACATTAACCCATTATGTCCAACACCAATCCACAAAGTCCTCCTTCATCTCACAAAACAGACGCAACGATGCCAACTGCAGGAGGAAAGCCGGGTCAGTGAATGTGTAAACATCTCAGCGCTAGCAGGGGTCTCCACACGACTGCTCCAGCACCCAGGGCTGCATCGGGGTAGGTCCATGTGGCTTCTCCTCAGGGATGTCTTGCAGGGAGTGAGCCTTGCCAGCTAAAGCAGGGAACTGGCTAAGGCAGCTGCACCCTGGTGCGACCATCAGAAAGCAAGAAACTAGAACTAGAAAGGTGAGGTTCACCCAGCCATTTATCTCTCAATTACCCCACATGTATTTATTGGCCAGGTTGGCACAATAAACTAACTACCTCAACACTGTTACACAATCTTTTCAGAACCTCTAAATAGAAAGCTTGATAAACAGCCTGACCTGGTGGAACAAACTCCAAATGCACTATCCCCCTCATATAAAAAAAATAATAAAAAGAGCATTGTCTTAATCTTTGATTTCATTTGATGAGCTTTTGGGGGGCAAGGTGACAATTGCATCTTCCACTGGCTTGACTGATGTTTGCTTTGGGGACCGTAAGAATAGCACCATGTCTTGTCACCAGTAATGACCTTGGGGAAAAAGTGTGGGTTGCTTCAGAGCTGTTCTTTAAAAGCACAGGCATGTTTCCACTTGACATTCTTTTTCCTGGTCAGTCAGAACCCCCAGCACAACAATCCTTCTCATTCCCATTTAAATTGACTGAACTGAACTCCAAGATAGTCCAGATAACTTCCCTATCTCTTCAATGGTTTATCATCAGTCTTCAAGCTCAAGTGCACAAATTTTGTCAACATTTTTGTCCATTCTGGAAGTTGACAGACATCCAGAAGGAGGTTTGTCATCAATTGACATTTCACCTTTTTTGAAACAAGAAAACCACGCATACACTTAGGTTTTTCCCATATTAATGTCCTTATAAGCTGTGTTCAACATCACAACAATTTCTGCAGCATTTTCCTAAGCAGGAAACAAAATTTCACAGCTATACACTGTTCACTTAAATCAGCCATCAAAAAAAATGAGGTTCAAGTGAAACTGCTTTTATGAAAAATGTCACTGTTACCAAAGAGAACCTTCCCAGTTGATGCCACTGGGTGCACTGTGCTCAATGAGTTGCCCAATGCTCCCCTAGTGAGAAAAATGTACTCTATGAAAGTTCCACCCAGCAGAATTTTTTCCCATTTTGAGGTGGGGGTACCCCCTTGTGTTTTTACTTTCAAACATAAGAAATACTGAAACAAATAATGAAAGTACTCCTTTAATGTTGAAATGCTCCAATTTTCTTGGAAAAGTTCTATTTTTGTTGGGTGGGATGTCCCACAGCTCTGAGGCAGGGAGTTCTCTTTAAAAACAGACATTGGTGTCAGGGGGAAGCTTTGTTTCTCATAGTTGGGACTCCAGGAGAGTCACTTAAACATTGCTTTTCTCATTTACAAAATTCATGTCATAAACACTCACTTATGGATTAACTGAAATGGTGTGCTTAATAAATGGAATTCATGTAAGTTTCTGATGGACTTCTTTCTTTTGTGGAGATATATTTTTATTTTAGATCTGTTGTTCATAGACAAGGTAACTCTACAATTTATCATCCAAACTGAGCTCTCAGAGAGAGAGGGGGCGCTTCTGGGTATTTCAGGAGTTCTTGGGTGGTACAAATGGTTAACAATACCGACAGCTAACTGAAAGGCACCTCAGAAGAAAAGTCTCAGGATCTCCTTCTGAAAGATTGCTATGAGTCTGGGCCAACTTGCTTGCAACTACTTTTTTATCTGAGGCTAATCCTGATGACACTGAGAAACTTGGGAGAGAGCTGCTATCAAACTTGCCACCTCCTGCTGATGATGACAAGGAAGCATTGGACAGGATGGCAAAGCCTAGTCTTGTCTGTGTTGTAGATAGTGTGCTAGTTAAGAACGAATTTACCAGTCTTTAAAGATATTAAGAATGGATGGAGCTTGGGCTTAGAATGCATTTAATGTTTGTTCATTATTGTTGATAATTTGGAAAAATCTATCAATATGTTTCATAACTTGAAAAGTATAATCAATAGAAATTGATGAAATATTGTTTTCGTTGCATGTACATCACTACAATAAAACAATGAAATAGCTTCTTACCCTTCCTTCCCTCCTCTTCCCCGACCACTGTGTCTCCTCCTCTTGGGAACAGATTAAAATAGCTAGCAAATGCCAAGAAAGCACCATACCCCAGGGACAGGGTGAGGACCCAACATAGGGTTGTAAATCAGTGGATTTATGCTACTGTATTTATTTCTCCGAGCTCCTTCCCAGTACCATTATACTTACTCCATCTTGCAGGACTCTAACTAAGGATTATTGGCGTTACTAAAAGCACTCGTTTCTAGGCCCCCACTATGGACTTGCTGAGACCACATCTCCTGGGTACCTCTATGTTTAAACTAGTGTCCAGGGCAGTTTCTAAGATCTGGCCAGGTAGGAAAATGCTGCCTGAAACTTCCCTAGATAAGTAGTGAGATAAGATGAATAAATGCTTTTTGTGGTCTCATGCTTTGGCATACAATCTGAGGAAGATTTGATGACACAGAGATAATCAGAGAATGAGCCCCAGAAGAAAGACAATCTCCTGGACAGAAGGCATCAGTCTCTGCTTCCGGCCTCTGCAGTCAGATGGGGCCCCTAGCTGAGTCAATCCTGGAAGAGCTGAGCCTTACTTTTGTTAAAAAGCAGTAATTCTTTGTCTCTATATTTCACCTAGTGATTGCCATTTTTCTCTTTTCCCCCATGCTTTCAAGAAAGCACTGTTCATACTGTTCTGTAAAGTGAGTTGCCATTAAGTTGACCCCTATTCATGGTGACCCCATGTGTGTCAGAGTGCTTCATAGGATTTTAGCGGTTGATCTTTTAGAAGTGGATCACTAGGACTTTCTTCAACATTTCTCAACCCACTGCCATTGAGTCATTGCTGACTCATGACCTGCTGTGGGTTTCCAAGACTTTAACTGCTTACAGAAATAGAAAGACCCCCTCTGAGAATCTGCTGGTGGTTTTGAACTGCAAATCATGAGGATTACAGCCCAACACCTAACCACTATACCACCAGGCTCCTCTAGGTGGGACTCAAACCTCCAACCTATCAATGAACAGTTGAATGTATTAACTGTGCACCACCCAACTCCACTCCCTGCTTCCTCGTGTCATTCCAACTTGCAGTGGAATGACTGACCTGATCATTAATCCAGGTACTATCATTATTATGCAAGGAGGTTGGTGGTACAGCGGGTTAAGTAATAGGCTGCTAACTGAAAGGTCAGTGGCTTGAACCCACCAGCTGCTCCTAGGAAGAAAGATGAGACTTCCATTAAGATTTACATTTACAACCTTAGAAACCCTGTGTTACACTCCTCCTTTGGGGTGACAATAGGTATCACTAAGTGTGACCGTAAGCTAGTTAATGACCCACTCTAAGCCTCAGTTTCCACACTGTGGTCACTAAAATGAGGCACTCAAAAAAAAGCATCTAAGATAGGCCCTGGCATATAGTGAGCACTTGATTTTTTTGACAACTTCCAATTTTCCTTGATTCATACTTATTATATTTCAAGTTCCAATTATTAATAGATGTTTTCAGCTGTTTCTTCTCATTTTAAGTTGTGCCCCATCAGCAAATGAAGGTCCCAAAGGCTTTATTCCACCACTACGGTCAACGCTACTCTGAGAAAGTAGCTCTTCCTCAGTCATATTTTGAGTGCCTTCCAATCTGCGGAGCTCAGAGACTTCTGACACTATCTCTGACAATGGTTTGCTTCTGTTCATGAGGTTTTCCGCATCGGACAATGCTATCTGTAGGTTGTCAGTGACTGATTTCTCAGAAGTGGACAGCCTAAGCTTTGCGGAAACCTGTTCACTTTGAATAATGCTATTGGTGTTTGAAAATACCAGTGACGTAGCTTCCAGCATCACAGCAACCCATAATTCACCACAGTAAGGCAAACTGACAGACAGTGGCAACAAGTGTACCCATTTCCAACCCTAAGGACAGGGTGGAACTCATCCTGTGAGTTTCCAAAAAAGCAGTCAAAATATTGCCAGTTATGAAGAAAGAAGAGGAAACCTCCTACTCATTTGCAATCATTCACCATTTCCCTCCACCCTTGGCCCCTGGCAATCACTAATCTACTTTATGTCTCTGTCTGTACATTTCATACAGATGGAATCATATGACCTGTGACCTTTTGTATCTGGCTTCTTTCACTTAGCATTTTCAAAATTATTCATGTATTAGCATGTATCAGGATGTCATTCCCTTACATGGCTGAGTATTCCATTATTTTTAGTCAACCCTGGATTTGTACAATCAATCCCAGGGGTGAAGCTCCCCTGGACACAAAAATTGTGGATACTTAAATTCCTTATCTAAAATGGGGTGGTATTTTTATATAATCCATATACATCTTCCTGTATACTTTTAACCATACCTAGATTACTTATAGTCCCTAACATAATATAAGTGCTATGTAATTGGTACTTTAGGCTCCCACTTAGCCTTTGGCTGATTGCTTTGATCACTTAATTGCTTTTTAGGAAATATATTCCTTTCCCCACTTCCACTCCAGCCAAATATTTTAATTTCAGAAGTGGCTTAAGCCAAGGATGCGGAATATACAGATGAAATAGCCATTGTGTATACAACATATTTTCAAAATCGATTGCTCAGTTGATGAACATTTGGATGTTTCCACTTATGGAATATTGTGACTAATGCTACTATGAATGTTCATGTTCATGTTATGATGTGCTTTCAAGTGTCTTGAGTATATAACTAGAATTGCTGGCTCATACAGTAACTCTCTTACTTTTTGAGGAACTGCCAAACTTTTCCCTAAATGTAATCCATCAACATATACAATTGTGATAGGTAGGTTTATTGTGCCAACCTGGCCAATAATAACATGTGAGGTTAATAAGGTCGCAGTTTGATTGGAGGGCAAAGAGATAAATGGCTTGGCAACCCCCACCTGTCTCTCTCCTGCTCTCTGGTGATCGGACCAGTGTGTGGCTGCCTTAGCTAGTTCTCTGCCTCAACTTGTGAGCTACACTACCTGGGGGGCAACCAACCCGTGGACTGTGTCACTAGAGCTTGAGGTTCCTTTGAGAACTGCTTCACCACACTGCCAGTGTATACATCGCTTGAGATGGGGTCTGTGGGACCCCGTCATTTGGCTGACTGTTGGTGATGTGCCCTGCTGTTTGCTGCCTGTGGCTGAACTGCCTGTATTACTATACAGAAGACTCAGCTGTCTGCTTCCTTGGCCTTGGACCCAGCAGCCATCATGAGTTGAAGGACTTTCAGTATATTAACTGTTTTATGGAAGTGATTTGAACTGAGCCTTCTGTACTGCTGTGTGGACTTATTAGCTGTATATATATATACATATATATACATATATATATAATCATAAGTGTCCTGGTTTTGTTTCTCTAGAGAACCCTGTCTAAAACAATACTTTTATTTATTTTGTTGTTGAGGATATGCACAGCAAAACACCACCAACTCAACTATTTTTACATATAGCAGTTAGTGACATTCTTTGAATGGTGCAACCAATCTCACCCTTCTGGCCTGAATATTCCTCCCATTAACATACATTTATTGCCTCCTAAGATTCCTAACTAATCTTTTGAGTTGAATTGCTATTGTCAATTTGATCCCACATAGATGGTTCTTCAAAGAGCATAATGCTCAAGATGGACATTTTGTTCATCTAATTTATTAGTGAACTTAAACCAAAAGCTCCCAAACTTATTTGGCCTGCTGCTCCATTTTCAGAAAAAAATTATACAGCAGTCCCCTGGCAATTAAAATTTTTCTACTATAACCCATAATTCTGGACAAAGTATAGGTATCTGCTTTTGCAACTCTCCCTGGATTGTTCCAGTGTCCCTCAAGGGACAGTACCGCCCACCTTGGGAAACACTAATCTACACTATTCTTTGGTTTTAAGAATATGTCAGTGGTTATTTTTAGTTTGAGGCTTAAAGATGACCCCAGGGCAATAGTTTCAGGGTTTCTTCTAACTTTCATGGCTCTACAAAATCTGGAGTCTCATAATTTGGAATTCTCTCCTACATTTGCTCCATTTTGATCAGGATTCATATATGGGGGAATACTTGATCAAAATATTCAGTCATGGTAGCTGGGCACCATCCAGTTCTTCTGGTCTCACAACAAAGAAGGTGGTTCTTGTGGAAGCATATATACCATTGCCTCCTTCTAGCCCTGACTTTCCTCCTTCCTCCAAAGCGTCAATTAATCCAAGAACATTTCTGATGATAATGAAAATAGTACATAACAAAACCATTATAGGAACTCTGAAAAATCCAGAAAAGAATGAGAACTATCTATGGGTAACCATTGTTAACATTTTAATTAGTGTTATGTATATAACTTTTTAAAACGTGGAACCTCTCTTTTTGTCAATGAATTTGTTATTGTGAATTAGGATACAGGAGACTAAAAATTCAGACCATCAACTCTCCACTCCGTAGTTCAAACACTCCAGCAATGCCACAGCCCCCCTTCTCTAATTTCTCTTCTCTTTCTTATGGACCTCTATCTTCCCTTTCATCCAAGTCAATACCTGTCAACCTTCTAGTCTACTGCTTCATCTTCACACTCTTACCTCCCTTCCTTTGGGAATCTCCTTTGGTCTTCAAGTCTGTCTTGGTTTTCACCTTTATAGTAGTCGGCTCATACAATATTTGACCTTTTGTGATTGATCAACTGCACTCAGCATAATATTCTCCTGGTCCATCCATGTCATGAGGTGCTTGGTAGTTTTGTCATTTTTGCTTTTTTTAGTTTCATTGGCACATAATCCACATATCATCCCATTCAATAGTCCAATCATATCTAGAAGAATTGAACAAACATTACCACGATTTTATAACTTTTTATTTTCATGGTTAAATCACTTTTAACAATCAGTTGTGTAATCACAATCTGTTCTAGTGCTCCTTCCCCCTTCTGCATGCATTGTGTGCTCCTGAAATCCCTTCACCTTCCCTAACTCCCACCCCCACATGCCTACATTCCCTGTAAACTCTTGCATCAATTATTCTATCTATGCACCTACTCCTTCTGTACTAAACAAACTGGAAACCCCAACAGAATCAATAAAAAACAAAATAAAGTGGTAAGGATTAAATGATATAAAAATAAAAATACAAATAATGAAAATGAAAGAAAAGGCCACCATCAATATTTTAAATGCCAGGGAAGAAATTTTTATCATGAAACAAGCAAGAAATGTTTGCACCTAGAACAAATGCAGGTTGGGTCAAGAGGGAGTCAACTGACCAAGTAACAAGTTCTATCCAGCACAGTCAAGATTACACTGATCTCTATCTGATAGTAAAGCTGTTCAAAACTCTTGCTTGTGGCTAGCGGGGATGATCTGCCAGTGGCTTAATCTGACTAGCTACTCTGCAGATAGGTTTGGGGTTCCCACTATCCTCCATAGGCTTTTATAAATTGGGTGTTCAACATTTAACCTCTCATACATTCCCCTTCATTGTTTTTGAATTTTGCCATTTTCATCTTTGGATCACACAAGCTAGTGTGCTTCTTCCATGTGGACTTAGTTGGTGTCTCACTTAGATGGCTGCTTGTTTGAATACAAGCCTATAAGGCCCTAGACACAATTCCAATTGATAGCCAGGCACCATCTGCTTTCTTCACATTTTGCTGTAGCACCCTTATCTAGTGATCACTTCATGAAGGTAAGTATCAAGTAGGGCCATTTTATCAGAAGTAACTATTCTTGGATTGGATCTAGAGTTCAGTGGGAGCCCAGAATCCATCTACATGTCCACTGGATATGCACAACTGAGATTTACTTTGGTGGTCATATTATGACAAAAAGAACCCTGTAAGACCAAGTACACCAACAGCAGCAACAAACCAACCAAGCAAAACAACAACAAAACCCCAACAAACTAAAGGCAAGAAACCAAAAACCCATAGAAACAAAAAAGTAAATCATTGTCAATCATCTCCCTGGGGTATAAGGCGATCGCACTGATAATATCATCAATTTTTTCAATGATACAGAACTCCGGACACTGTTGGTATGAGGAGTTTATATACATATATAATTCCCCCTTGAGCCCCAATCTATGAGTTGTTGCTCTACACAGTTCAATCTCCCATTGGCTTGAGCTCTGTTTACCCTAAGTATGGGGATTGGTGCCAAGGGAAACTTCCTGGATCAATTCAGTTCTTCCAAGTGCAGATCCCTGCTCATCATCATCATTTTTAAGTGACGCACAGTATTCCATTGTGTGTATATACCAAAGTTTCTCTAGTTATCCTACTGATGAGCATTGGGGATGTTTCCTACTCTTTGCTACTGTACACGGTGCTGCATTTAATATGCACTTGTATACATCTGTTCATGTTATGCCTCTTACTCTTTTAGGGTATATACTCAGCAGTGGCATTGCTGGGTCATATGGTATATATATTCTCAGGTGTTTTCAGTATTGCCACATCATTTTCCACAATGGTTGCACTTATTTACAGGCCTAGCAGCAGTGGTGTCCTAAGCAAATGAGATAAAATTTACCATTAAATGCTGGCCATCTGGCCAATAATATTTGAAATTTCTGTCAATTAAATGAGTACTTCTGCACACTATGGTGCTGCATGGTGTTTTTAATCTTGGAGAAGGAATGTTCTTACTAATCACTTGCATTTTATAAACTGTTTAATCATGTATTTAGCCTTATTTCTATCTTGATGTTTGACTTATTTATTTGGAAGCATTTGTAACTGTGCTTGCTTTGGCAGCACATATACTAAAAAGAGTTTGTAATATAGCTGTTACATTACAAATATTTATTCCAATTCAATTTGTCTTTTCCTTCTTCAGCTACAGTATTTTTATATACATAATATTTGTAATATGTCTTGTATACATTACAAAGTGTTTGTATTATGAAACAATACATGTTTGATGTAAAAATGCAGACATTATAACAATATAATGTAGATATGAACAATTTGCCAATGTACAGCATCTCAAATGGACAGTTTGATAGTCTTCCAAGTACCTTTCCCTACCCATATTTTAACAATTAAATTTCTTTTCAAAATTAGAACCATAGGCATTTTAAACTTTATTTTTCACTTATTACATCACATATATCTCAATATCATGAATGCAGTTTTAAAAATACTTTTTGAGGTTGCTGTTGTTAATGTGCCACTGTGACAGTCTTGACACACCGACCCTATTTACAGCAAAGTAAAACTACCCAGTCCTGTGCCATCCTCACAATTGTTCCTAAGCTTAAGCCCATTGTTGCAGTCACTGTGCCAAGCTATCTTATTGAGGGCCTTCCTTTTTGCTTCCCCTCTACTTCATTAAGCACAGTGTCCCTCTCCAGGGACTAGCCTCTTCCGACATGGCCAAAGTGTTTAAGAGGAAATCTTGTCATCCTTGCCTCTAAGGAATGTTCTGACTGTACTTCTTCTCAGACAGATGTTGGTTCTTTTGGCAGTCCATGGTACTTTCAACATGCTTTGCCAGCACCTAAATTCATATGCATGGATTCTTCTTCAGTCTTCCTTATTTTGTTAGGCTGGACCGACTAAAGAAACAAAGTTGTTGCCACTCATGCATGCGTATGAAAGAGCTTGACATCAAAGAGTAATTGTATATTAAGAAAATATCCCAGCCCAGTCCAGATCAAGTCCATAAGTCTGATATTAGCTCATAAGTCCTATAGTAGTCCATATATCCCTTTTTAGTCTCATACAGCACATGATGCAGGAAGAACACAGGCCAGTGGGTAAAAATTCTTGTGGATCCAGTGGCAGTGGAATCATCCCCAGGACTCTCGCAGATCTAAGTATGGCTCCATGTGGCTTTTCAACAGGATGGTGAAAGCAGAGAGTGTGTGGCCCTCCTCCAGGGAGAAAGAGGAAGAGGCCAGCCTCGAAGAGCCATTTATCTTGGTTGCCCTCCAATCAAGCTGCAACCTGATTGACAGGTTAACCTCTGCCCACATGTTCCTACGGGAGCCATGTTAGCACAAAAAACCTAATTATCACATTTATTCAATGTCCACCTTTCACATGCATATGACGTCATTGAAATACCATGGTTTGATCAGGCACTCTTAAGTCCTCAAAGTAACATCCTTGTTTTTCAACACGTTAAAGACGTCTTGTGCAGCACATTTACACAACGCAGTGCATTATTTGATTTTTTGACAATTTCTTACATGAGCATTGATTGTGGATCCAAGCAAGATGAAATCCTTGACAACTTCAATCGATGCCACCTATTGTACCAGTTGTGAGGATTTTGATTTTCTTTCTTTACATAGAGTTGTAAACCATACTGAAGGCTGCAGTCCTTGACCTTCATCAGTAATTGCTTCAAATCTCCTTCACTTTCAGCAAGCAAGGTTGTGTTATCTAAATATCACAGGTTGTTAATAAGCCTTCTTTCAATGCTGATACCACATTCTTCTTCACACAGATTGAATGAATATGGTGAGAGTATACTGCCTCAGTCACACATTTCCTGATTTTCAACCCCTGTTCTGTCCTCACAACTGACTCTTGATCCATGTACAAGTTCGACATGAGCACATTAGAAGTTTCTGGAATTCCTATTTTCTTAAGTCTGTGGGGCCAGCCCACAATCGAATGGATCCTAAGGAGCAGTTGTGCAATTGAAAGAGAAAATAAAGAGACAACAGACAAGGCATGCAAGGGCTCATCTCTTCCATGGAGTCAGGACGAGAGAGAGAAAATATATACTTAATAATGAATTTATACAGTCTCGGGACATGTAAAGGTTATCAATCACATATGTAACAAGGTAAGCAGAGTCTTAGCCCTAAATATCCCTGGGCTCATTGGAGGAGAAATCTAATACTTGTACTGGGGGCAGGCAAAAGGGAGATGACTGTCCCGAGTGGGGAGAACAACAGAAACATGTCTGTCCTATAGAGAAGGGCTGCTAGCTGCGTAGTGATCAGCCATGTGCTTGTAATAGGTGTCATTACGGTATTACTATTATGGACGGATATAGCGTGGCATGACTTTTAAACAGGAGAATGTGATTGGGACTCATCTCCAAATCACAAATATGAAGGCCTCCCTCCACCAGAATCCTGGTCTCCCAGGCTTCTTAATTTTGAGTGTAGAGAGTCTGTCCATGTATACTCTCTTACCAGGCCTCAGTTTCCCATACAAGGGTATCCATAGTTTGTTATGATCCATACAATCGAACAAGTAAACATCTTTCTGGTATTCTCTACTTTCAGCCAAGATCCATCTGCAATGATACCCTTTGTTCTAAGATCTCTTCTAAATCTGGCCTGAATCTCTGGCAGCTTCCTGTCAATGTCCTGCTACAACTGTTGTTCGATAACCTTCAGCAAAATTTCACTTGCATGTGATATCATTGATACTGTGCTATAATTTGAGCATTCTGTTGAGTCCTCTTTCTTTGGATTGGGTACAAATATGAATCTCTTCCTGTCAGTTGGCCAAACAGCTATCTTCCAAATTTCCTGGTATAGATGAATGAGTGCTTCCAGTGCTTCATCAGCTTGTTGAAACAATTCAGTTGGTATTCGATCAATCCCTGGAGACTTGTTTTTGGCTGCTTTCAGTGCAGCTTGAACTTCCTCCTTCAACCCATTGGTTCTTGTTCACACGCTACCACTTGAAATGATGTCAACTACTTCTTTTTGGTACAGAGACGCTATGCTTTCCATCTGCTTTT